CATGGAATTAAATCATTCCGAATGCAGATTAAAATTCTCGTTTTTTTCTTTCTTAAATATCTATTGTATTCACTTTCCTCTTTCAGCCAGCAATGCAAACTGGCTTTTTCCCTTTGGGAGCAGAAAAGGAGGTCGTTTAACTTTTTGAGAACTGCCTTTCCAGCCGTATAGCATTCAGCGTAGATATTTCTTTATTCCCATTACCAAACCTTATCAAGATCTGGCCATATCAATTATCCAGGGCTTTATCTGCTCATCGCTGAGTAAACGACGAATGCGTGCCAATTAAAGTGCTGACGGGCGAGGGAATGATGACAACGATGATGGCCTAAGGACAAGTTGTCCCAATGTAAGACCCTTGGGAATATCTGAACCACTCTTACCCATTCAGAGTGGTCTGGGGTTTTGGCCATTAAACTTGTGATGGCGCTGGACACGTGACTGTATAATGCGTATGTCTGCAACATTTACTGCCACTCAGCTCTGCTTCTTCGCCCCATTATCCCCTATATCATACAGTTTTCCCTTTCCATTTTTGGGGAACACAAACACACCCAAGCAAACATTGAAAAACGCCTGTAAATTATCCACTGGGGAAAACGGGTTCGTTTTTTGTGTGTGTTTTTTGACTAACTTTGGAAAAACAACAGCAGAAAAGGGCTGGGCGGACAGGTAAAAATGACCTCCCATCCATAGGGTGGGGTCCTGTTCCGGGCCTGTTATTATTATTAGAGCGTCAGCAACTGTTGAAATTTACTCGTGACAAAATAATTTAAGCACCACCGAAAAAGCGAGCAGTTTATACGAATTAAGGAGAGTACAAATACTCGTAGTGCTCTAACCCTATTTGCTCCAGTTAATATTGTTGAAGAAGAATTTTCATTGCTAGCCGAGTGTTTCTGGCGTTTCATTTCATTTTATTGCCACGAATTTTCTTCTATTTATTTTTTATGCCCTCTGTCTCCCTTATATCTTCGTCTCTCCCCTCGCCCTCTCTCTCTTGGCACTCTCTTTCTTTCTGCAATTAACTTTAGCTTTTCCCATGTTTTTCTGCCTTTCCTTCTGCCTCACACGCGTTAGCCTGTCGTGTCTAGGGATGGGATGTGTTGTGGGATGTGGCCGGGTTTGTTTGCTTCGAGCTTCCTTTCATGCCTTAGGCTTTAATTTCTCCCACTTCCCCCCGAGACTCTGGTTATTCTGTTAATTAGTCTGCCGCCGAATTTCGTTTATTAATTATGTAATCCATTTTTCTGCTTAATTATATTGAGAAAGGCTGCCTGCCTGCTTCCAACATCGGGATTCCGAATGCACGAGAACATATATCTACATATAAAAGTCCTGTAATTGGACTGTAATTAACTAAACAGCCTGACGGCAAAGAGGAGTGGGGGCTCGGGGCTTGGGGCATGTGGCAATGAGAAAATATTCCTGGCAGGTGACTCCTGGATAGATACAGGAATTTGTGTTTAAATAAATGGAAATAAGACTTGGATGAGGGAAAGTAATGTGGGGTAGGAACATTTTTACTGGGACTCTCAAGACAGCACATAATTATTGGAAGACTGGGGGATGGGCATAGCGGAGCCCTTAATGCGGGAAACAAACAATTTAGTGGAAAAAAATATGGAATGGGGGATTTTAAGGAATGCATTAGGAATGTTCTAGAACAATACCTTTGAAAATAATATACAGAAAATTATGTGGCACACCCTGACCATTTTAGTTTTGTGGATGAATTGCAGAACTTATATTAAAATACTTCATAAAAATAGTCTAGGCATATCATATACATATGTATGTATATACATACATATGTACACATCACTGAATTTATGTAGTTCCGTATTTTTTTAATTTTTTTATTTTGGACCAAATGTACAAAACCGATTTTTATAATCTTGCTTTTTATGTGTACGATTGCGTACATAGCTAAGTTTAACCAAGAATATCGCCAGCAATTTCAGATATTTTCTTTGCATTTCCTCTCTAAGCTTACACAACCGAACCACGAATGAGACCTATTTAAATATCCTTATACATATGTATGTTCGTATCTGCGTACACATATGAAATAACCTATTTGTGGTCTCCATTGTTGAGCTCCTAAAAAATCCACAGGGTAACTCGAACTCTGGGCGGTTTCGAATGGATTCGACACACATCCATCCAAAAGCACGTTGCCCCAGGGTTGGTGGAGGCAACGAAACGGTAAAAGCGAGAAACAAAGGAATTCTGCCACATTAAACGGAACAAATGCAGTGAAATCATCTGGCAGGACCTGGATTGGGTGAGGGATAGACAGGGTGGCAAGGGTCGCATCGGGTGGTGGTGGTGGTGGTGGGTACATCACGAAACATGTTGCAAAATATTTCAGACGGACAACTGCACTCTGATGGTGTCATAAATCTCAAAGGAACGGAAAAACAGAGAGAGAGAAAAAAATATAAAAAAACAATGAAGGATGAATGCGAAGGTGCGGCAAAGCAGGCCAAGGATTCTCTGCCAGGATTTGGGACAGAGTACAACATAAGACACTGCATAATAAACACTAAAATTAATGATTTACGGGTCTCTCCAGCTCTACGAAAACAGGTTGGGAAAGTACGCGATGAGTGAGTGCCGTCCCACGTTTCGATTACCTGGCCTGGGCGACAGGTAGACCTGACCCAGTGGGTGTGAAAAATGGCACAGAACGAGGCCAAAATCATCGAAAATGAGTCTTGGGCCTGACTGGATGACTACCACTCGCTTATCTTATCAAGTTTTGTGGCGGGAATCCAGAGTGGAGTCGACCGATTTGGGGGCGTCACCGTCACCCCGAACTGCGTATGTCATCCATGCAGAAGGTCCCGCATAGACTTCTCACCTGGCGTGTGCCATTATCCGCCATGCAGCTGGCCCTGTCGATGCCCTGAGCCAGCTGCCTAGGGACACAGATTTTTTGCCTTTGTTCTGAACGAATTTCGACTTTCTGCCTGTAGGCGAAGGAGCAGTACAATGGAAATCCAAAATCGGTTGCAGGCCGGCTGATGGAAGGATGCATCGGGGTGGAGGCACTCGTACAAGATAAGCATTTAAGAAGACAGGAAATGGCAAATTGTAGTCCCTACATATGTGCGACAAGGTTATAAGAAAGTGAATAAAATCCCCGCTTCATACTTATGTATGTATGTACATATGTACATATACTATGTAAAAAATACACATGTGAGCCCCGAAATGAGACGCATTCCAGTAATGGATCACAATACTGATAACAGATAACAGAATGCGCAATTGATAGATAGAACGAACGCAACCCACATAGATACACAAATAGGGCGAAATAGTAGGTTTCAGATAAGTCTTTGGGAGCTACAAATGTATGTATGAGTATGCCTGTTATGTATTGCTCGTATTACTATAAAAGCTAGCAAGCAGCTATTGCATGTACATAGATATGCGCATTTCTTATTTGAAATTATTAATTTTTGAAATATTCCTCATCTCTTCGTTTAACTCTGTATAAGTTACTCTGTATAGTTACTGTTGATATAATTGGTTCTTGGGAGAGCTTTCGATTTACGAAATACGAAATAATTATACATTTATTGTGTTGTGTCTTGCCGTGAGTTCCAAATTCCTTTTGCAGCACTTATTTTAAAGTTCTGTCAGCATTTGAAATTCCTTTCAGCTAGATTGCGAAACAATATTCTCAAGTCTACATTTGTCCGCTATGTAGTAAGTAAAGCCACACTTTCACTGCATAAACCAAGCCACTGTAAAATACATTTGTCGCCTTTATTTATCTACAAAAAATGCCAACCACTTCGTTGGTTTTCTCTCCTTCCGAGCAATATCCTCCTTGACCCGACACAAACGCGACAGTTGATTCCAGTTTTGTCTGCTCTTTTGTTCTGGCAGCCGCTGCAATTTGTCACTTTTCGCACTCTGGTCCGTCCTACACAGACACCTCGTCCCAGCAATGTCCTGTTCTGGCCCTGTCTGTTTGTTGTCCTTGTTCCCGTCATGACTGCTCTAGATGTCGGGAAGTGCAGGCACTTCAGGCATTTGCCATATTAAAATTGCTTGGCGCTGACAATTGCCAGTGATTTGACAGCGGCAGTCGAGGAATCCATGAGCGGACGACTACAGGTGAGAGACAAACGAAAAGGTAGCAGAATTCTGCGAAATTAAATTCCAAAAGAGACTTGAAGGAAAGGAGTCACCCAACTCAGAAAACTTATCCCTGAATTAGCGTGCCAAAGCGATAGCGGGTAGGATTGTGCCACTCGCAAATCTCCAGTCAAAATAGAAAGGGCTTGAAGGTAAGTCGGGGCCCGAAATTGTGTACGAAATTTGGGGAATGGAATGGTTTGTTACCGTTTTTTAGCGGATATTGTAGATATTCGACTGCTGGATACCTTTCGGGTGAGCCGATGATCGTGGAAAATGTTAATAACGAACTGAACATTGGGCACCAAAACAATAGTAAAATAATAAATCTAATTTATTAGATTTACCTTAAGAGCCCAAGAGCCACCAAGAGGCCTCCAACAGCAATATTCTACATAATATCCCCTTCGGATACCTTCCATCGGAAGACACACAATGTTGCATGAGTAAAGTTCGAGGCGACCAAAAAGCCATAAATATTCCCCAAAAAAGCAGACGAAACCCAAAAAGAAAACAAGAAATATAATCAAACCAGAAGGAAGCGAGTCAGGATGTGGTCAGGATATGTGGAGGCTCAGCACACAATATATGTACATATGTATCTCTATCTATCTATCTATATTTCCCGGGGACTTTGCCGAACAAATAGTTATGGGGGAAGGCTTGAGTGGAGGCGTCGGATCTCTGGCTGCAAATTTGCCAACACGATTAATAGGTTTTACACCGCGAGTCTTTGGTGACAGCCTTTGAAGACAGCATAGGAGCAACGATTCTAACTGAAAATTCAATGCATCCATCCATCTTTTGTGTTTGAGATATGTGCATGTTTCTGAAATATAACTCACCTTTTGAGCCTTGCAAGTCACGTTAATAGACTGCACCTCGTGGGTCTGATGACGCTGCTCCCCGATGCACTGGCCGCAGGCCGGGATCTTGCAGTTGAGGCAGTACTGGGAGAGGGTCTCCTCGTGCTCGCCGCATACCGACTCCCGCTGCTGGGCGGCACCGCGCGGCTTGACCAGCGTGTGCTTGGCCAGGGGCCCACGAGCCGGGTGGCAGAGCTCCCGGCAGGGCTCGCAGTAGCGAATCTCGCACTGCTCGCAGATCAGCGAGGCCACCTTGGGGTCTGTCTCGCACATCTGGCAGCGCAGCGCCTCGCGGGCGCAGAAGCGGTCCACGATGGCCTCCATGGCGCGATAGGTGGGCAGATTGCGGACTCCGCCGTCGTCGAAGAACACGAGCTTCCGGCACAGGGGACAGGTGAGGCAGTAGGCGGCGCCGGGTGGCGCGACCACGGACCCCTGGAGCAATCCCTGGAGCTGTCCGGTTCCGGCGTACGAGACCGGGCGGGATGTGTTCGAGCAGCAGACCACGCCGGAGTCGGCCTCACTGAAGATGCTCACTTTGTCGGACTGGTCCTGGTCGGAGGTGACGCTCTCGCTGCCCGTGTTGGAGCTGGCCGTGCTTGCGGCCGAGCTGTGGGAACTGTGACGGGTGCCCGGCCCTGCTCCGTTGGCGACACCGTTGGCTGTTCCCCCGCCAGATACGGATCCGGGGCCACCGTTCACCTGGCTGTGCAGTCCGTTATGTCCGCCGTTGGGGTTGGATCCCGATCCCCCGCTCACGGCCAAAGCCACTCCCGGCGTGTACGGAGTCTGGATGTCCAGGGCACAGCCCAGGCACAGGGCGTGGAAGCAGGGCAGCAGCACGGGATTGGCGTACAGCTGCTTGCAGGTGGGACAACGTAGCTCGTCCTCCATTTCAGCAGATGCTTTCCTCCGAAGGAACGCGATGCGATTTCGCTTGAGTTTTGAGATCTCCGCTGGTCTCTCTGGGTCTTGAATTTTGGTCACTTAGTGGGGATTGGGACACTGGAGGAGCATGTTTGGCAAATGATTTCCACGGCTTTTCACTTCTGGTAGTAAGGATTTATTTTATTTAGAGTCTGTAATTTCCGTATTTCACTTTTTATTGCACAGTTTTTTTTGAAATTCACTTTAAGTTCAAATTTAATGTGCAAGTATTTCAATAATACTTTTGGTATCAAATATTTCTGGTACTTTTATCTGAAATTAACGTCTCAGTTTCAGTTTAAATTTCAGTATTTGATCTTTTATTTCACAAATCGCACAGTTTATTCACATTTAAGTTGAAATATTGAATATTTTCTCTTTCTGGAACAATTCTTCAAACGAAATTTAACTGCTTTGGATCTTTAAACTTCACTGTTTGGCTCAAATTAGATTGATACTTTCGAAACTCTTTCTTATGTTCGTTCTTTGGTTTTTAATTATTTTTTTGCACTTTTATTCAAATTTATTTTGAAAATTTCACACTTTGATCCAAAAACGTAGATTTTGTTTCTTAACTTTATTAAAAAGATGTCTCTTATTTTATTTATTTTTAAGTTTTTTTTTATTACTTAAAAAAACAATATTCATTAACGAATGTTTCCATACAAGCAATTCACGATAAACACGACGATAATCTTTCGAATGCACCCGCAGAGAGAAAAAATATTTCGTTGTTTACTTGTTCGAATTTTGAGGATTTGAATTTGAATCGAAACGGCCACGACGTCCGCTGCACAACCGGTCTCCGCGAAAAATTTTTGTTTTTGCTTTGAACGTTGAACGTGTCTCGACATGTTTGTGCCCATGTTCGTGCTCATTTTTGCGTGTCATGGCTGAGTTTTTAGTTGGATCGTGATTCTTAACCCATTATGGGCCGCTGCTAAACGGCTCGTACGATTTTGATGAAACTTGTACATGTTTGACATGTTTGTTCGGATGGGTGCTATGGACAACAAATTTTCAGATTGTCCAACGTCCAAGTACCTGCAATTGAGACACCACCAGAACTATTTAACAGTCGGCCCATCAGCACGGATCTGAATTCAGAGCAGTTTTTGAAGATTCTTACATTAAGCTCATACTGTACAAGGTCACCGTTCGGAGCAAGCAGAAATAGTTTACTTTGCTGTTGCAAATGATTAACAATTCAATTCAAAATTTAAGATCAAAAGGCAAGTGTACAATAAAGTCGGCTTATTGCCGATATATAATATACTTAATGGGCGCTGAGGACATAAATCGTATAGGCTACGAATGCGCACTCGCCAATCGCGTAGATGCTCGTTGTGGCTACCATCACCTCAATTTGCCATTAGATAGGCGCATAGCACAATGAATTGTTGAAATTATTAAAATCACACATGCACACACCAAATTAATATCACGTGCGTAGATTCATGAATGGCGAACGCACGAGAAATTGTCATTCAAAGAAGAAACATTAATCGTCAGTTCATCGCCGACATACACCAATAATTTACTGAAACATTTTCGAAACAATAAATACGATGATGTATCACATGCGATTTTGACGAGAAGTGCCCTAGTAACAGTTGACCGGAAATAGATTTCTGGAACAAATGGTTTGCAGGCATTCGCAACCAATGCCCAGTTCAGTATTGACAGTTGGTATTTTTCCTTAGAGCAAATTATGGCATTATAATTTAGCGTTTTGCCGCTTTTCATGTCTTTCATGTCTTGCAGAATAGACTCATCCTGAAGTCTTGGCATTCTTTACACTTCGACGGTATAGTATTAAACACAAAAACAACGATTGATTCGTGTAAGGTGTGTTTTGGTGGTTTGTAGGTTCACATTTGTGTGCTGCTACTCAGACACAAATTCGATTACAATTCCATACAAATATTCGACAAAAATAAGCATTAGAATCAAGTTTTTGTTTTGATGGATCTATAATATGAAATTAAATTAAATCTCATCGTGTTTGCTTAGCACATTTAATTTTTTTGTATGCATTTTGTAATTTTAAACTTTGCAATGGAAAAAAAGTGGAAACGTGTATTAAGATTAAAAAACCATTATACAATCCGTCATCTGCCGCCGGCCTATGCAAAAAAAAAAATACCACCCAGAACCCATACAAAACAAACATTTCTAACTTAAGTTTAAGCCAAACAACTAAACACTAACAAAAACAGAACGCCATATACACCTACAACATACATCTACATATGTACAAATAAACCCAAACACAGTGAAAGTGATATATAATAATTATAAAATTGGTTAGTGTGTTATTTACCATGACGCCCCCCTCTGTGAACCAACAACCAACTGAAAAAGGCGCAAAGACACCGAAGACACCGTATGTGTGTTGTTATGCGTGCAACCGGGTGTTGGCTGTGGATGGGCCGTGAGCAATTCTAAAATTGATATTTATGAAATTCATATTGTCATCAGCTGTCCACTAAGATGAACATTTCATGCTAAGAGACGATGATACATAAATATGTATGTACATATACATAGGTATCAAATTAGGTAGGTATCATCCAATATTTCGATTCATTGGATAGTTGAATGACCAGTAGATAATTTTTTGGCTGAGGCCCAAGGACATTACCAAAACGATGGCATATTTGTATCTAAAATACTTCAATATTCAAAGGAAAAAAATGTTGTTAAGATTGAAAAGAAGTTAATTAATGTCCAAAGTACAGAAAAGCGGAAGAGTACACCTCCTGCTACAATAGCAGATAATAATAAGGACAGTGTGGCGTAAACCCCCGGAGAACAGTGTGGCAGATACTGAAAATTCAGAAACTGAATTCGAAATATAAATTGCCTTCCGAATCAAATATTCAATGTGATAAATTTGTCGAAAATGGTCAGTTATGAGTCAAATCGGAAGGAATTTTTGACGAAATTAAAATCACTCCAAAGATCTATTTGGTTTTTCTATTAATGATTAATATTAATACCCTCAAATAGCAAATAAAGCGCTTTCTTTCATGGGGAGAGACGTTATTTTCGAATGGCAGTTTATGGTTGGTATTGCATTTAATTTCCCACCAAGAAACGAGTTACTTTGGAGACGGCAATGTGTGTTCGAAGTTCGTTGCAACCGTCTTATATATTTTGTTCCAGTTCTTAATAATATCGCTAGAAACAGACAGAAAATGTTGCTAAAGAACAGAATGTTGCTACAACATGTATGTATGCTGCAGAGACACAACGAACTCAAGCCGATTGATCCAGCATGCTTGAAACACAGCGAACTAAAACCGGGTTGCTTCGAACCTCAAAATGCAAAAGAAGAAAAATTGTAAATAACTTTAATTTTCATATTCAAGCATATGGGAAAATTATAATATGTTAAGCTCTTACAACACATTAAATTAAAATAGTCAGATTTATGCCAAGTCTTTGTGAGTTATTTTGAGGTGCACCAATTGAATTGGATAGTAATAATATCTGTGTATAAAAACATACATGCATTTTCAAGAGTATGTTTTGGGAACTACTTCTTGAGAGAGTCGTATTGAGTCGTATTTCTTGAACCAATCGTAAACATATAACTACTTTTACCTTTGCAGACACTGCGCTTTATTCGCCTTATCGGAGCCTGCCCCACAACCGTAGAACATGCCTCTCGCACCCGATAACGAAGAGCTAACTTTCACACATACTCAGGTAAACCGAAAGGCAACAGGTAAAGTCAGCGAACGTGAACTGCGCACAGTGGGACCCCAGCCGAAAAGAGGTGGCAAAACACTAAGAATTTCATGAGCGATTTGTATAATATATCCATATATTTATCAATTTTCAAGAAAATCTGACTTTTGTTTTAGTAGATACATATGTATGACAGAAAATTCAACTTGTTCATAATGCATAAAGATGCATTTCAGGTGGAATAAAAAAAAACTATGTAACGTATGATTCTGTTTCTATTCCATGCTATCAGTACTCAATCGATACTCATTTTGGGGCAAAATAGATTATGCATTAGAAATGTGAGAGATACCAAAATAGATCGGCAAATAGTTATTCTATAAACCTCTTAAGCTTCTACATATAATAGCCCGTGTACTCGGTCAGACAAAATATTAAAAGGTTTTCGTTCAAACATATATAGTTTATTTCATGTAAATACGATTATTCGCTCAGAAGTTAATAATTTAGCATGCTGAAATTTCCGAAGGCCCTACTGTGCGCCGCTGATAAGCCCAGAACGCACATGGCGACATTCCAGAGTGTCGGAGTTGTTACGATCAACAAATATGGCTAGAACCCGGCTCTGAATAGCTCCGGTGTTTGTTGTTTGTTTAGATATCGAATCGTGCAATCAGGCGGGAATCGAGAAGAGGAGTAGGGGGGAAGAGGGCCAATGGCCAGCGCAGTTCGATATCCGATACCTGATATCCGAAAGAAAAACAAAATAAGGTGACCTGCTCCATTTGTTTGTCTATGGTGCAGCAGGGCAGCTAGAATACGAGTAGAACAAGCAAATCGTGCAACGTGGAGAGTGTCTCCATCTAAGTGGTGCTTCTACCTGCCCCTGCCCCTGCCCCTCCCCCACCTCGTGACTCCCAAGCAATGCGTAATCCGTTCGACTTAATAAGCCACGTTCCTGTCCAAGTATTTGATCTGGATTTGGAATCGGGAGGTGTTAGGTGCCCCCAGTCGCTCCCCCCACTCCCCTTAACGAACGTCTCACTTCACTATGCAAATATTGACGGGCGGCCCATTCGTATGCGTAATTTGCCTCAATTTATTGTTGTTTGCTCAACTTTTCCCCCATGCATTTCTATCTGTCTTCGGCCCCCCTCTTTCTCTTTAACATACTTTTACTGTTTCCGTAATAAATCACTAAATTGGACAGAGTAGAGGAAGAGAGTGAAAGAGGGAGAATATCGCCTAATTGGTGTATTGATTTTTGTTTTTCCTTATGGCCTAAGTGTGAATTATGGCGGGGGGAGGCGCAATGGGATGGCGCCAGACAACAAAAAAACATACTTATCGGGTTAGAGAACTGTACCCGTATATATGTATGCATGCATGGGACTGATGGAATGCATTAATAAGCTGAATATCATCATACGCAGATTAAGGACAGTCAACGAGTCTATTCAGTTCTTCATAAAGTCGAATGACCATCATCAAAAAATAGCCTAGAGAAAGAAGAAAATCTAAGAAAACGTTGTACACATCTACATAAGTAGATATGTGCATACCTATGTACAGATTTGGTATACAAGCATTTACCTGTTGAGAAACTATTGAAACCGATTCAACTGCCAAGCGACGCGTGACTATTGAATTTACTATGAGATTCGGAAAAATGGACTTGAGGAGGTGTCAAATTTAATTTATAAAATCAACCCACATGATGATTATCCAATAAATACAACAAATTTGTTCTTTGGTTTTCTGACTATCAGGTCTATTTCAGGCCTTCCCCATTCCCCACCGGAATATTTAGTTTGAATTTCCGTTGGATCTCCCTTTATCCAAATGTTTGAATATTTTTACGGTGTGCATTTTTCCACGGCGAACGATTCCGGGGATCAGTTGGCGAGTCCATTATTCACTGCAGTTTAAAATATTTGAAAACTTTCAACACGTTTATACCGCACTAATACTACCCACCCAAATACATACATATATGTATGTATGTACATATGTATGTACGTACATCCACATATATGTACCATGCAAACCCTTTAGCACCCCAAATCCGCACTCATTCCCGTTCGTTCTGGTCTACTTTAATGCCGTATATCATGTG